ACACAGTCAGATCATCTACACAGACACACAGTCAGATCATCTACAGACATACACAGTCAGGTCATTTACAGTCACACACAGTAAGATCATCTACATACACAGTCAAATTATCTACAGACACACAGTCAGTTCATCTACAGACACAGTCAGATCTTCTACAGACACAGTCAGATCATCTTGAGACATACACAGTCAGGACATCTACAGACACACACAGTCAGATCATATACAGACACAGTCAGATCATCCACAGACACACACAGTCAGATCATCTACAGACACACACAGTCAGATCATCTACAGACATACACAGTCAGATCATCTACAGACACACACAGTCAGATCATCTACAGACACAGTCAGATCATCTTCAGACATACACAGTCAGGTCATCTACAGACACACACAGTCAGGTCATCTACAGACACACAGTCAGATCATCTACAGACATACACAGTCAGATCATCTACAGACACACACAGTCAGATCATCTACAGACACAGTCAGATCATCTTCAGACATACACAGTCAGGTCATCTACAGACACACACAGTCAGGTCATCTACAGACACACAGTCAGATCATCTACAGACATACACAGTCAGATCATCTACAGACACACACAGTCAGATCATCTACAGACACAGTCAGATCATCTTCAGACATACACAGTCAGGTCATCTACAGACACACACAGTCAGGTCATCTACAGACACACAGTCAGATCATCTACAGACATACACAGTCAGATCATCTACAGACACACACAGTCAGATCATCTACAGACACAGTCAGATCATCTTCAGACATACACAGTCAGGTCATCTACAGACACACACAGTCAGGTCATCTACAGACACACAGTCAGATCATCTACAGACATACACAGTCAGATCATCTACAGACACACACAGTCAGATCATCTACAGACACAGTCAGATCATCTTCAGACATACACAGTCAGGTCATCTACAGACACACACAGTCAGGTCATCTACAGACACACAGTCAGATCATCTACAGACATACACAGTCAGATCATCTACAGACACACACAGTCAGATCATCTACAGACACAGTCAGATCATCTTCAGACATACACAGTCAGGTCATCTACAGACACACACAGTCAGGTCATCTACAGACACACAGTCAGATCATCTACAGACATACACAGTCAGATCATCTACAGACACACACAGTCAGATCATCTACAGACACAGTCAGATCATCTTCAGACATACACAGTCAGGTCATCTACAGACACACACAGTCAGGTCATCTACAGACACACAGTCAGATCATCTACAGACATACACAGTCAGATCATCTACAGACACACACAGTCAGATCATCTACAGACACAGTCAGATCATCTTCAGACATACACAGTCAGGTCATCTACAGACACACACAGTCAGGTCATCTACAGACACACAGTCAGATCATCTACAGACATACACAGTCAGATCATCTACAGACACACACAGTCAGATCATCTACAGACACAGTCAGATCATCTTCAGACATACACAGTCAGGTCATCTACAGACACACACAGTCAGGTCATCTACAGACACACAGTCAGATCATCTACAGACATACACAGTCAGATCATCTACAGACACACACAGTCAGATCATCT